TTATTTTTCTGGGGGGGGGGAGGGGGAGGACTACGTGGGAGTAGTGTGGAAAGACCACCTTTCTTATAGGAAACATACACTCTGTTTTATGAATACCCTAATGACATCTTGGGTTTGGAAGGGACCGTGGAGATAATGGAACTCAATATACCTCTTTTAAAAGATACAAAATGTACTATATTATTCCACTCATATGTGGTATTTAATGAACAAACTGAACTACCAAGCAAAATAGAGACAGACTCATAGAGAGCAGGCAGACAGTACTTGTGGTGGTGGTGGTGGTGGTGGTGTGTATGTGTGTGTGTGGGGTGGGGGTGGTGATGGCGGTGATGGTTGTAGTGTGGGGAAAAAATCCAGAGTAATTTTATTAGTAGTTACTGGGTCAGAAGAAGCAGATAAGGTGATTTGGGTCCTGAACATATAGTATATTATAAAAAAGTATGTTAAGTGTTTTATTTTTTTAATGCTCTACCACTTACTATCTGTGTAATCTTAATCTATCCATGACTCAGTTTACTCATCTAATTTATAGGTCTGTTGCTATCTTTAAATGAGTAAATGCATAAAAATTCCTTTAACCAGTATACAGAGGAAGAGCTCAATAAATGTTAATTCATTATTAAATACCGTTCACATTCCTGAGAATGAGGGTCTAATTTTCCCATCTCCTCTTTCCTATGCAGGAGCAGCATAAAGTCACACCTGCCCAGAACAGTCCCTAAAGGTAACATTTCCCTCTTTTTTTTAATATATATTTTATTGATATTTTCACAGAGAAGAAGGGAGAGGAATAGAGAGTTAGAAACATTGATGAGAGAGAAACATCAATCAGCTGCCTCCTGCACACTCCCCACTGGGGATGTGCCCGCAACTAAGGTACATGCTCTTGACTGGAACCGAACCTGGGACCCCTCGGTTCGCAGGCCGACGCTCTATCCACTGAGCCAAACCGGTTAGGGCTGTTTGTCATTCTTAATACATGGTGACAGTCTCAGCTAATCGAGACCTCTCCTCCTTGCATGTGTCATATAAGAGCTAACCAATTTTGTTGCTCAAAACATATAAAGCCTTCAACTGCTTCAAAGAATAACAAGACCTTAAACGTGTTTCCTAAACCCCCAGCACCAATGAATTTGTAGTTTTATAAATATCACGGTGAACAAGAAATGCTGTCTTGTCATATTCAAGCCAAATAACAGCTGGACTTTAAAAATAAAATTTTGAAGGCATTTGCCTTTTATATTTTTAATTTCTGTTTTCCTGGCTTATCGTTTTGTCATTTGATTTTGATGAGTAGTTAATACACACGCACAGCTGCCTGTTTCGATGACCTTTCCCTTGCAGCTCCTATGCTCAGAGCTGTGGAGCAGGTCTACAAGTTGCTTACTAAGTGATATTGGCGTTTTCATGATGGGCAGACGTTTTCCACAGAAGCCGGGCTGAAACAGAGCCATTTCCCAGGCTGACTTACTTTAGTCACCTCAGAAGCCCTACAGGAGTATGGAGGAGAAGTGGATTGAGGCCTGTTCTGCGCCTAGCCAGCGTGGCTCAGTGGTTGAGCATTGACCAATGAACCAGGAGGTCAGGGTTCGATTCCCGATCAGGGGACATGGCAGGTTTGATCTGGCATGCAGGAGGCAGCCAATCAATGATTCCCTCTCATCATTAATATTTCTCTCTCTCTCTCTCTCTCTCTCTTTCTCTCTCTCTTTCTTTTTCTCTCTCTCCTTTTCCTTCCTCTCTGAAATTAATACAAATAAAAATAAATTTTTAAAAAAGATTGCTGTTCTGTGTTACTCACAATAGCCAAGACATGGAAAGAACTTAAGTGTACACTGACAGATGAATGAATAAAGAAAATGTGAGCCCTAACCGGTTTGGCTCAGTGGATAGAGTGTTGGCCTGTGGACTCAAGGGTCCCAGGTTCAATTCCGGTCAAGGGCATGTACCTTGGTTGCGGGCACGTCCCCAGTGGGGAGTGTGCAAGAGGCAGCTGATCAATGGTTCTCTCTCATCGATGTTTCTAACTCTCTATTCCTCTCCCTTCCGCTCTGTGAAAAAAATCAATAAAATATATCTTAAAAAGAAATCATTTTAGAAAAAAAGAAAATGTGGTATAGATACAGTAGAATGTTATTCATCCATAAAAAAGGAAACCCTACTATTTGCAACAGCGTGATGGACCTTGAAGACATTAGGTTAAGTCAAGGCAGGCAGAAAAAGATAAATGCTGTATGATCTCACTTACATGTGAAATTGAAAGAGACCAAACTCATAGACACAGAGAGTAGAATGGCGGTTGCCAGGGGCTGGGGGCTGGGGAGAGTGGATAGACCTTAATCAAAGGTTACAAACTCCAGTAGTAAGATGAATGATCTCTGGGGATCTAATGTACAGTATGGTAACTATAGTTAACGAGACTGTATTATACATATGAAGTTGTCAAGGGAATAGATCTTAAATTTTCTCTCACACACACACAAAAAAGATAACTATGTCATGTGACAGATGTGTTGGCTAACCCTATTGTGGTAATCAATTTCTATTACATACACGTATGAAATCATCACATTGTACACCTTAAATTTACACAGTGTTATATATCAATTATATCTCAATAAAGCTGAAAAAAATTAACTTTTTCTGTTCAAAGCCAGAGGAAACATGGAAACAATCATGTATGGAAAGAAGGAGT